TATAAACGAAGGAGTGCGGATAGTTTAAGGATTTTTTGAAAAAACTGAATGCAAGTTTTCTTTGTGGATGCAGAGTTAAAGCTCATTCAATTCTTTAATAAACTAAAACGGCCACATTGACGCTACTATTTGGTATTTTTGACGTTTTTTTTAAAGAATGAGAAAAAGAAATATTTAATTCTTGGCCAGAATAGGTTCAGTGCCAAAATCTTCATATTAGGGAGATTTTTGGCAAAATTCGAAATCAGTTGTTATATTTCTCAACTCGTCGTGTGTTTTAAACCTGGCTATTGGAGAAAAAATTGCTAAATGAAAACTTTCAATCTAATGATTAAAATCAAAGATTAAAATTTTATAAAAAAAAAGGCTGAAGTGCAAAAGTTACGATAAGTAAAAGGATAAAATCAAAATTATATACAGCCCTGTTCTGCAATTCGCGTCGGAATTGAATCTGAATCGGAATTCAATTCCGACTCAGAATTTAAATGGTGTTCCAGAATCCGATCGGAACTTTGGTTTCGAAGTTAATATCGAATCCGATTGTAGAAAAAAAGGAACAAACCTCCTACTTGTCAAATTAAAATGTGAAAACTAAAATGAGCTCAATGGTTTCATTAGCTCTTTTGCTCAATAATGAGCAGCAACCAAATGAAAAAGTGAGGCAAACAATTTTGCGCGATCGCAGCAATCCCATATTGTTACCGGACTCTGCGTAAGTAGTATGCAAACAACTGTTTTCTCTTTCGCTATTTCAAAGTATAATTTTATATTTTACAGCTCTCTTTCACTGCCCAAGATTTTGGGTGACTTGCAGCCTTATGTACGCAAAAAGTTCCATTCCTGGGAGGAAAGCGAATGGACCAACATCGCTTTGGGAAGGAGCATCGCACCATTGCCGACGTTACGTTGTGTGCATGGAGTCAGTGATGTAGGTAACGATGTTTAACTGGGATTAAGTATCGAGATGCTGATCACCATTCGTGGTTATTGGGCGATGGCGGGTATGCTCTGGAACCTTTTCTGTTGACACCGTATATAAATCCATAGTCACGGTCTATACAATACGCATTTAATCAAACACATTCTTCCGCACGTAATATTGGAGTTCTCAAAAGTCGTTTTCAGTGTTTATTAGTAACACTGCAGTACAACCTATGAGGTTGTGAAAATAATTAATAAATGTGTTGCCTGCATAACATTTTTCGCCACTACAGTCCTGAATTTGACTGTGAAGAAGTTGAAGAAAACGATAGCGAAGTATATAGATAGTGAAGAAGAACAGAAATTTATTTGAAAAGTGAAGCACAAATAATTGGATACGAAATTGCGAATAAAACTACCCCTATTTGATAAAAACGAGTTTTGTAATTAAACAATAAACAATTTACGAAAAAATAACATTTTAAGACTTTTTACTATTTTCAAATTCGAAACGCTCTAGCTCCAACTCAAGCTGTCGCAGTTTAATTTGTTTTTTATTTTTTTCATTATAACTATTACCAATTTTAATTCGTTTACTTACATTTTTCGTTGTTCGCTAAAGTCTAAAATGTTCCTTTGATCATTTACATTTACATTTTGGTTTTTTGTTTTGTTCTTTTTCTTATCCACTGGCTTTTACTTGATCGGAATATTTCCGATAAAAAATTTCCGATACTCGGAATGCACAACATCAAATTCCGATAGAATTCCGATTCGAAGTGGATCGAATGGAGAACAAGGCGGAATCGGAAATAATATCAGATCGTCGGAATGCAGAACACCAACAATCGGAAACAAATCCGATTCCGATTCGAATCGGATTGCAGAACAGGGCTGATAAGCAATTTGGAAGGAGATAAACAGCAAAATTTGAGAAGCTGGTGTTAAAATAGCAGTTGCAATTCAGTTGCAATTTTTTATATACCAATGCTTACAATAGGAATATAAGCCCTCTATCTGTTTTTCATCTGTCAAATATGCTTCTAAGGGCCGGTTACTCAATATCTGGCTAACACTAATCTGCGGTTAAACATGGTTATCGACGTCTTCGACTCCATGCATATAACAGGGAGTCGGCAACGTCGATACCAATGTTTAACCGCAGATTAGTGTTAACCAGACATTGAGTAACCGGCCCTAAATCTTGTAACCAATTCGCAAAGCAGGAGTTTAAAAAAATGCCCTGCTAGACGAGCTACGCTGGCCTTAGTTATTCCAGCTGTAATTGCATAATGGCAGATTGAACTTAATTTTGATGAGAGAAAGAAGCTGATTTTGAAGCATTCAGTTGTAGCAAGTGCCGATGGAGCTTTGGTTAAAACTACAGTTAAACTTCTTCTTCTTATTTGGCGCTGTAACCGCCTAAGCGATTTTGGCCGAGTCCAAAACAGCACGCCAGTCATTTCTCTTCTGTGCTAACTGACGCCAATTGAAAATGCCAAGTGAAGCCAAGTCCTTCTCCACCTGGTCTTTCCAACGCAGAGGAGGCCTTCCTCTTCCTCTGTTACCAGCATCGCGGCCCGCGTTGAATATTTTCAGAGCAGGAGCGTTTCTGTCCATCCGAACGACATGGCCAAGCCAGCGGAGCCGCTGAATTTTAATTCGCTGCACTATGTCTATATCGTTGTAAAGCTCATACAGCTCATCGTTAAATCGTCTGCGATATTCGCCATCACCAACGCGTAAAGGTCCGTAAATCTTTCGCAGAATCTTTCTCTCGAAAACTCCAAGAGCCGCCTCATCAGATGCTTTCATTGTCCATGCTTCCGCGCCATACACCAGCACAGGCATGATGAGTGACTTATAGAGTGTGATCTTTGTACGACGAGAGAGGACTTTACTTCTCAATTGCCTACTCAGCCCAAAGTAGCACTTGTTGGCAAGAGTGATTCTCCGTTGGATTTCAAGGCTGACATTATTATTGGTGTTAATGCTGGTTCCCAAATAAACGAAGTCGTCTACTTTTTCAAACTTGTAACTGTCAACAGTGACGTGGGTGCCAAGACGCGTATGCTCTGACTGTTTGTGTGCTGACAGGAGATACTTCGTTTTGTCCTCGTTCACCACCAGACCCATTCGCTTTGCTTCTCTATCCAATCCCGAGAAGGCAGAACAGACGTAGCCCTTGTTTTTACCGATAATATCGATGTCGTCGGCATACGCCAGCAATTGTACGCTCTTATAAAGTATTGTGCCTGAGCGGTTCAGTTCTGCGGCTCTTATTATCTTCTCCAACATAAGATTAAAGAAATCACACGAAAGGGAGTCCCCTTGTCTGAAACCTCGTTTGGTATCAAACGGCTCGGAGAGGTCCTTCCCTATTCTGACGGAGCTGGTGGTATTGCTCAACGTCATTTTACACAGCCGTATTAGTTTCGCGGGGATACCAAATTCAGACATCGCGGCATAAAGGCAACTTCTCTACAGTTAAACTGCTTTTTACAATACAATTCTGTACACACAGTGTCGCTTAATCTTATATTATAGGATCTCAAAAGTGTAAACAAAGCAAACGATAAAATTCATTTTGCTTTATTTCCGTAACGGTAAATATTCAAAGTCTGTGATATTGTAGGACGTTGTAACTCGTACTTGTAACCTATTTGAAACAAAATATTGTTTTCGATAATTTGTCGCTTATGATAAAATCGCAATTAGGGGTCGATATACATATATTATGAAACATGTACATACATGTAACATTGCCTCACATTTAAGTTTATCATAGTTAACCGTGTTTGCATTTCTGATACACTGTTACACACAAAATAAAGTTAACAGTTTTTTGTTGATATTCGCAATGTTTAGATGCTAAACATTTTTTGTTATTTTTGTATAAAGATTTGCGTTATATTTTATAAAACCCCATTTTGATCCAAGTATGCAACTGTGGAGGAAAATTTGGTAAAATGTGCAAAGCTTCAGCAAAACCTTCAGGAATGCAATTTTTAGTCCATTAAAATTTAGTGTAATAATGTGCAAATTCCAAATGTGTAAAAATTTAAATTTTTTTCATATAAAAAAAATCTGAAAATACTTTATATGGAAAGTCAGCAAAAAAACCTCAAGAATCAACGCGAATTTTTCGACGTTTGTAATTTGCACATTATTATACTAAAATTTACTGGGCTATAAATTTGCATACCTGAAGTTTTTTTTAGAAATTCTTATTAAAAAATTCGCAATTTTTCTGAAATTTTGCAGATTTTTCCTAGTGTTCGTACACAGTTTCATACATGGATTTATATGGGGCGTGCTAAAATATAAGTAAAATTTTTATAAAAAATTAACAAAAAATTGTTAGCATATAAGACATTGCGAATATAAACAAAAAATAAACCGTATACTCAATTTTGTAACAGTAAGGGCCGTTTTTACCATCTCTGGTTAACACTGATCCCCAGTTAAACAGTGTTACCGACGTTACCGACCCAATGTTAAATGAATGGAGTCAGTACCGTCGGTAACGATGTTTAACTGGGTTTTAGTGTTAACCAGATATGGTGAAAGTGGCCCTATGAATGTATGCATATACACTAGTTATTCCATGGCGATAATTTGTTATTCTAATTAATTTTTAACTCAAAAGCGATGTAAACAACACTACATATACAGTGAATCATTTAAAAATTATTTGGGCACTCAATTTCCTTTAAACGGGAAGAATTTAAAAGAAAATTTCCTATGACATATCAATTAAATATCACTAGAGTTCAACTTTAGCGTTTACTGATCCCGTTGCTGTTGGTGAAGCTTTATCAATTTCTGAGCATGCTGATCCTTTCACATTTACATTAGGCGAAACTCCATCTTATAAACCGTATACTCAATTTTGTAACAGTAAGGGCCGTTTTCACCATCTCTGGTTAACACTAATCCCCAGTTAAACAGTTTTACCGACGTTACCGACCCAATGTTAAATGAATGGAGTCAGTACCGTCGGTAACGATGTTTAACTGGGGATTAGTGTTAACCAGAGATGGTGAAAATGGCCCTATGAATGTATGCATATACACTAGTTATTCCATGGCGATAATTTGTTATTCTAATTAATTTTTAACTCAAAAGCGATGTAAACAATACATATACAGTGAATCATTTAAAAATGATTTGGGCCCTCAATTTCCTTTAAACGGGAAGAATTTAAAAGAAAATTTCCTATGACATATCAATTAAATATCACTAGAGTTCATCTTTAGCGTTTACTGATCCCGTTGCTGTTGGTGAAGCTTTATCCATTTCTGAGCATGCTGATCCTTTCACATTTACGTTAGGCGAAACTCCATCTTTTGATTGTGTTTTCTGTTCAGCTGACGATATCGTTTTATAGTTGACGTATGTTTTTGTGCCCACTGACGTATGATACTTTTTTTTTGTTAGTATCCGCGTTGAATCTTTTGCGAGCTGCCACCGCTTAAACTCGATCATTTGCATGATTCTCACAGACATTTTTGGTTTACGTTGTATTATGTTAGCGAGTTTATTAAATTCTTGTGAATACATGAAAACCACCGGAATGCTAACATCATTGATTCCATCACCTGACATAGCGAACATAGGTTGTGTTTCCCCCGAAGATCCCGCCACATTATCACAAACTATTAGCGCAAGGGCACCAGCTGCTTGTGCCAGACGTGCTTTACTCACAAATGTACAATCCCCTCGTTCAGCAATAAGCACTTTGCCACGGATTTCATCACCATTTGTGAGCTCTTCACAAGCTGGGAAAGGTGCTGCCAAAATTAGTTCTCCTTCTACAAATTGTTCTCCTGTCAGCTCGAGACTAAAATGTGATGGGCCAGCCATCACCGCTGTCCACTCATTGGAATAATCATCTAAGGAATAAGCAACAGCCTAAAATTTTTTTCAAAAACACTACGTTAGTTTATTATATAATATTTAATACATAGTGTATGTTGTAGCTATGGCCGAGTACAACATAAAAATAGGTTCCGTATACATAGTTCCAGAACCCTGCACTTTTTTTCAAAACAACCTCTATGTTCGTACTTGATGCACTTATCTATTTACAGCTTGACTATTTTTGTTTTGAAAAGGGGATTTATATACCTTTAAAATGATGTATAACTAATGTGACCAACTATATCATAGCTCAAAGAAGTACAGAAACTGAAACCAAAAATAGTATGAAAGTAATCAGAAAAGGGTATAAGTAGAATATACAAAACTGGTAACAGTGTACCGATTCAACAAATTAATTGTATTAATTAAAAATCTATTACCGCTTATTCTCAGCGATCTACTAATCGTACAAGTCAAGTATCAGATTAAAATGCTCGATCTGAAACTTTTCAGATTTAAAAATCAATAGACCAATTTTGAAATATTTGCACGGAAAAAATTTTTAAAATAACACAAACGGCAATAACGCAAATTTGTGTTATTTCCCAATTGAATGTGAAACAAAACAAATTTGCTTTATTTCATTTCTCGTTGAGCACCAAGACCAGCTTTTATACTTAACAATTTGAGTAATAAAGCAAACTAGTGCACATATGTACGTAGTCACCCAGTTACATTTGACAAAAAGTAGTACATGAACAAGTTAAATGGACGGATTTGTAAGTATACAATTTTGAAAGTGCCCGGCGTCGCGGCGGTCCGCGTTCGCGCGCCGTCCCGCGCCGCGTTCGACGTCGCGTTCGCGTCCCCGACCCCTCCCCTCCTTTCGCAATTATGTACTGGTGGCATTATAACCGTTTAGAAAAAGGAAAAATGATAAAATAACACTAGTTCACTTCTGAAACTGCTTTTTAATGTCCAAGTAATGGGAATTATTGTGTATGGTGTTATTGCATCCTGCATCCCACCCATAGTGGAATTTACCAGGTGCCACTGCTTTATTTGAAAATTTGCCTATAAAATGCCGAATGTCAGAAAATAAAGCGAGAAAGCTGTTTTATTACTTCATGTCAAGGTACATTGAACAGGTAGTATCAGTAGAGCAGCTGATTTGATTTATTTTCAAATTATTTGGTCTCGAAAATGTCAAATATTTTTAATTTTTTCTCACAAAAATTCTGAATTGTTAAAATCCATTTGCATGTGAAACCTTTTTCCATACAAAACAAGCGATTGAATAGCAGCTTTTGGAACGTTCGCCCAACTCAGCAGCACAACCGCTGATTACTGGCCCTTGTAAAGGATGGATCAATGCTTCGAGAAGCAAACAAATTTGCTAGGAGAGAAAGTTGCAACAATTTTTATTTTTTCCAATTTAAATTTATTATTATTTTTGTATTTCACATGGCACCCTTTGATTTAGAAGAAAAAATTCAGAACAGTTGTTGACACCAGAAGCAACAACAAAATACACGCAAATGTTGTTTTTGCTCTACTGATACTACCTGTTTAATGTGCCTTGCTTCATGTGTTTATTGCGACAGGGTTTCATGCAAACATTTTAAGGTTTTCCAGCAATGTTTTTAACATATATTATAAAGCATGCAGAAAAAATTCATACAAAAGCGATATGTCCAATATGCGGAACAGCTTTTAAAGACGATGCTTTTCCTGTATTTTGTTAGACTTTTCATAAGTGTAAAAATATTATGTGAATATTACCTTCTTCATATGAATCATATCACATTTTTTGTTTAATTCAAGGCATATCAAACAGGTTTAGAGCATTTGAGCAAAAACAACATTTGCCTGTATTTTGTTATTGCTTCTGGCATCGAAGGTGCCAAAAACTGTTCTGATTTTTTTCTTCTACATCAAAGCGTGCCATGCGAAATACGAAAAAGGTAAAAATTTTAAATTGAAAAAAATGAAAATTGTTGCAACTTTCTTTCTTAGTAAATTGGTTCGCTTCTCGAAGCATTGATCCATCCTGTGCCAGGCCCAGTAATTAGCGGTTGTGCTGCTGAGTTGGGCGAGCTTTTCAAAAGCTGCTATTTAATCGCTGGTTTTGTATGCAAAATGTTTAACATGCAAATAGATTTTAACAATTTAGAATTTTTGTGAGATGAAATATTTGACATTTTCGAGAACAAATAATTTGAAAAAAATCAAATCAGCTGCTATACTGATATTACCTGTTCAATGTGCCTTGGCTTAATTGTATTTTTGGAATAAACAAAGTTCTTTTTCCTTCTGTCAGTAAACTGTTTTTTTTACAAATAGTATAAATAAGCAATGGGAAATAAGGCAAAATTTGATTTATTTCCAACCTTTGTTGGAAATAAAGCAAAACTCAGATTTTGGTATTATTTCCCATTTAAAAGTGAAATAAAGCAAATTTTGCGTTATTGCCGTTTGTGTTATTTTTTTTTCGAAGATGTCTGCCACCCCGCTATGGAGATATCTTACGAAGTTATAAGTGATGGTCAAAATTGCGGTACCCAAGCATACGAACCAAATATTCGCTTGATTTTTCGAAAGCCAACTTTAACAAGTAAGAAAGTCTATGTTCGGGCGGAGCCGAACATTAAATACCCGGCGCAAGTATTAAATATATGTTTTTCACCTTTCCGAAAGCTACCGCTACATGGTAAGCCGGGTTGTATCAATTTTGAGTAAATTAGCGTCCTTAAACTTCGAAGTATTGAAGTTTCAAGCATTTCCGAAATTTACTGTTATATGAAAAGCGGCCATAATTTTAGTCCGATTTCAATAATTTTCAACGTTTTGCTTCTATGTGGCAAGCAGAATAACCACACCGAGTTTGGTACAAATTGGTAGAACGGTTACCGAGATACATATGTATATGTGATCATTAGTGGGCGGAGCCACGCCCATTTTCCAAAATTTTATCATAAACGTATTTCTTGGTAAAAAATTGTTGAAAGCACCAAATTTTTATAAAGTAGCTTTAATATTTACTGCTTTATCGAAGATTTCGTATTTCTCTAAAATTTTCGGCCACTTCGTATGTTATACCAAGGCCAACAACTGTGCCAAGGTTGGAAGAAATTGGTGCAGCGGTTACCAAGATATACACATGTAACCATAAGTGTGCGTGTCGAGTTATCGTGTGCACAGACGGACGGACGGACGGACAGACAGTCACCGCTTAATCCATTTCTCTTTTCATTCTGATCATTTATGTATACATTTGTCTATATCTATCTCGAATCGTTTTTTCTGTTACAAACAACCGTTATGTGAAAAAAGTTATAATACCCTTGTGCACAAGTGCACTCGGGTATAAAAAGCTTAACAAAGAACTGTCTAAATGGTCGTGGCCTGCATATAAAGAAAATATTGAACAAAGCGTTGCACTTTTTAATTTTACTTTGCATACATTATTTCAAAAGCATGCGCCCAAACGCATGTATGTTCCTGAAGAACAAACACAGTTACGGTTCACTAAGGCAGGCCTTCCCAAAGTGGGTGACACCTGGGGTTCCGTTAATGGATAGAGTATACTAGTGGTGCGGACAAATTCTTTAGACTTTCCATACACAACGCAAGCGGTTTGATCAAACTTCAACATGGCGGCCAGAATACCAAAAAATTTAGATATTCATTAAAATTACCTTCAGCGGCTCGTCAAACCCCATACACAACACAAATAGCTTGTAGCAAAGGGATATTTCGCTCTTAAGCGTAGTTCCCCAGTACGTTTTGTCAACGTAAAATTGAATCAGAAGATTTTCAGAAAAATAGCCGAAAACGTAAACTTTTCACAACCACTTTCGGTACTTTTGTAGACCTAATCCGCGTTTCATCCACTTTTCTTCCCGTTTTTGGATTAATTTTCGGATTGTTTGCTGGCTGGGCTGTTCTCGTAACAAGCGCAGTAGCTTCGCGTACGTGTATATATTACTTATTCTTTGGAACTTCGCAATCACACTGTGAAAGAGCGAATCAACACGATTTTAGAGGCAGTCTTCCCGTGTTGGTGAGGTACCCATTCGCAATGCAAATCGAAGAAGAACGAAGTACTTCAGACTTACGCCACTAGCAACGACATTTTTAAAGCTATCGACAAATTTGTACATAACAATGGTTTGAAATGGAGCAAGTGTGCGGATATTTGCGGTGGTTGGAAAAACGAAAGGAGCGATGTCGAGGATGAAGCAAGAGGCAGAAAACGCCACGAGTAGTCACTGTATGATCTCTCGGTATTCCCTGGCGACAAGGAAAATTCCGCCGCTAGATTTAAAACCCTTACTGGATGACGCTGCGAAGATAACAGAGGCCTGCGAAATTAAAATACATCTCTGGTTTTTTATAGCACGTCGAGATTTTTTTATTGGTGACATGTATATTTTAGAATTTCTAGCAATTTGCATGAAAACTCCATAAATAAACAAAGTAATCAGAAAAACGTATGCTACTTCAAAGTTAACGCTAAGAAAATTGATAAAAGCCCGTTTCACTAGCAATTTCCATATAAAATTCAAAAAATTAAAATCATTTAAAAATTATTTTCTTAGCGTCAACGCGCATTACCAGCGTTAACTTGGAAGGTTTAGAAAAAAAACACTGCCTGAGGATGGCTTCAGCTGGATAACAAACCCGTTTTCATGTGGCCCGAAANCTACTTCAAAGTTAACGCTAAGAAAATTGATAAAAGCCCGTTTCACTAGCAATTTCCATATAAAATTCAAAAAATTAAAATCATTTAAAAATTATTTTCTTAGCGTCAACGCGCATTACCAGCGTTAACTTGGAAGGTTTAGAAAAAAAACACTGCCTGAGGATGGCTTCAGCTGGATAACAAACCCGTTTTCATGTGGCCCGAAAAGTAAACTTACTGAGATGACAAATTAAGCATTTGAAAACCTTCTGAATATCAGTGAAGACACACCTTGAATATTAAATACTACTAGGGGAGCCAAGAGAGTTCTGGATGCAAGTGTATGCAGAAAACACTGCAGTTGGCA